TGATTGAGATATAACCTATAAACCATAAAACTCACTTGTTTAAAGTGTTCAATTGTTTCAATATATTCACCCTAATCTTTAGGTCTAGCATACTTGTATCAGCCCCCAAAGAAACACCTTTCCATCAGCAGCCCTCCCTGGGACCCAGTCCCAGGAGGGAAGGAGGGAAGGAGGGAGAGAGTGCCTGGTAGCAGGCTGTATGTCAGACACTACCTTTGCCTTTTTTTTAATTATTAAATTTAATTATGTGTATACACACACACACACACACACACACACAAAATACCATTCTTCCTTTATGCAAAATGCATGCTTTCTCCTGGCAGGTATAGTCTGGGCAAAATTCCCATCACCAATTCACCTTGCGTTTTATTTTTTTCCCCTCCCATCTGTATTCTTAGCTAATCTCCAGTCTCTTTCATCCTCCTCCTCCCCAGTCATCCTCCACATTCCTGGCCAGACAACTTTTCCTAAAGAAAACAAGGTTCCAACCACTTCTCCCTAAGGTAGCTCCCAGGGGGATCCAGCTGTTCTCCCAGCCTGGTTTCTGTGGGGGAATTCAGTTGATGACTCAAATGCCTGCCAAACAAACTTTGGGGATGCAACTGTGTGAGTCGGAGAAGGGCTGCTCCTGGGCCTTTGGTTCACTGCAGAGTCCTCAGAAAATAAACACAGCCGACCTGATTATTCCCCTCCACTTCCTCCTGAGTCAGAGTTATCTCAGGTTAACTCAGGGAAGAGGCTAAATTAAGCCTTGAAACCAAGCAGCTGCGGTGACAGGCACTTTGTTTTGCTTGAGTGACCGGGAGGATGGGGGCTGGTTTGAGAGCAGCACCAACTATCTCTTTAGACTGACCTTGGTGATCTGGTCCCTCCCTGTAGAGATGGGGTGAGGCCAGGGCCCCCCAGCCCCCACCTAGGTCCTACTAGTCCACCAGCCAATGTCAGGATCTGTGCTTGGTGGTGGTCTCAAGGCTGAGGCCAAGCTGAAGTGAGCACAAGAAGCCAGAGACCCTGAAGGGACCCACTGGCATTTGGAGAGATGTTTGCACAGAGCAGAGCAGGGAGTGGGGATCAAAGGCACTTGGACCTTTTTGTGACTTTGTGCAAAGATTGGGCCATGGAGTTACAAAATGAAAGAGATCAGCTGAGCATTTGCAGACCAGCAGGCAGACCCAGTCACTGCGAAAGCCTCTTACCAACATCTACTAAGGCTGAGCACTCACATACCCTATGACCTAGCAATTCCCTCGGGTGTATGCAGCCAGCAAGAGATTGCATGTGAATTTTACATCAAAAGAAAAAAGTGCAAACATTTATGGAACTCATGAATGTATGCATATTGCAGTATTTAAGGAGAAATGTAATAATAGGCTCATGGGTAGCTAGAGCGGGAATACTTTAATGGTGGAATTTAGGGGATGTTTGCAGTACATTTTTTTTCCAGATTTACTGTGAAAATTTTCATAGAAAATGTTGGAGGGCATGCATAGGAGTGTCCACCAGCAGACATGCGCAATAATGCACCCCACAGTACAAGGGCCTGAAACGAAACGACCCACATGCCAGTCCTCAGTGTGGCAGATGCCACCTGTGGTCTGGGCAGGGGACGGGGCACTGTTTGCACTGAGAGTGAATGAGCCTGAGCACACACAACAGCAATGCAAACAAATGTGAGAGACTCGGAAGAGGACTCACTGTGTGATTTCATTTCTAGAGAATTTACTAACAAGCCAGTCTCACCTCCGGTGTTAGAAGTCAGGACAGTGGTTTTCAGAGGAGTAGAGGGAGGGATGGTGACTGGTATGGGACACCATGTGGGCCTTGTAGGCTCTTGGAAGTTTCTGTTTCTTGATCTTGGTGCTAGTTAAACAGATGAGAACATTTACGTAGTTGTGCGCTTCATGTTTTTGGGCACTTTCCTATAGATGTTATAGATATTGTTAAAAACTGTCCTGGGGGAAAGGGCAAGAAACCAGAGAGATTCAACTGGAGGCTTTGCCTAGCTGAGCTCTGGGGGTAAGGAGCTACCCCATTACCCTGCGGAGAAAGCCAAAGTGTGAAGGAAAACCCCTTTTGAACATTCACGTGGGTGTCATGTTGGGTCACTTGGCCCTCTCTTCACTGACATGTCTCTCTCCACACCAGCAGGTAAAGAGGCCACTGGCACTTACTTGCCCCATATCTGAACTTGCTCCAGAGGACACAACCCAACCTTTCAGGGGTTCATGTGTCCAGAAGAAGGACCTCACAAACATTTTACTTTGCCATGATAGCCCCAACCTTCTGGAATTCCTGTTTGTGATCATTTCTTGATAGTCACCCTAATATAGCCCTTGACCCCCGTGTTAGGTAGGGCTCTCCAGAGACACAGAGCCAGTAATATATAGCGTGTATACAGATGGACAGACAGACAGACAGACAGACAGACAGACAGACAGACAGACAGACAGACAGACAGACAGA